GTGCAAGGAAACCCGATGACAAGAGAAGGTCTAGAGAATGGTCGAGTGAGATACGCAAAGCAAGCTGTAAGTGCAACTCTCGTGTTACTTGAAGAGCTCGCTGGAATACTGTTATTCAATTCATTGAACATAAATAGGTGATCCTGACCGATTCCACGAGAATATTAAAGTGAGAAATTATTTCATTGCACACACATCTAATCTTGACACCTCTGATTCATGAGCATTACTTTACCCGTGAAAATATAGGAACGGAGAGAAAGCTGAAGATGCATCATCAATGTTGATATTTTTGAATATCAAGGCGATGTGCAGAGAGGATATTGATGTGTTCGTGGAGTTCGTGCACATGGACAATATGAAATTTATGTCGGAAGACACCTCGACCATAGACCAAAATATGCAACGTGAGTATCAATTCCCCTCCCTTGTGGAAGGTCAAGGAAAAATTGCTAATCTTCTTCAACATCCCTTTACATAGCCCACCTTTCCCCGGCTTTCATGGCCGGAACTTGCATTTCATTATCGATGTTGGACAGTATTATTTGCCAATCTTTTTACCAGCCGCACCTCGTTTCTATCGTTGAACAAATGCTTTTCGGCGCGCCCCCCTTACATCTTCCCTCCGGTGCGACCTGTCCTGCACCCGCTCATTCGCACATTTTCCAAATCCCAGTGCCTCGTTCGTACACCGGATATCAATATGGCGAGCTGTTTCACTTCCTGTTAGGAAAAAAATCCATACCCTTAGGGTTGTATCGCACTAAAAGGGTGAGGACCTCGTTCGGAAATGTAAAAGAGTTGAGATATGTGTACACTTGTCCAAGATATAACATTTTACTGAGGGAAGACGATAAGGTGTTTCTTTTGAGCAAAAAAAAACCAATACTTTCGTAATTTCAAATTTATTAATATTAAAAATCGAGATTTATAATTTTTTCGGGTTATACATTCGCGTCAGCAATTTTATATGAATGTAATGAGCGCAAGATAAAAAAAAAATTGGTTTGTCTCATATTCGCGCCCCGCATCAGCCACCATTACTATCTTTCGGTTGCAAGTTATCTTTTGACCTCCCCAGTAACCGGATTTTTCCAAGTCCTTGCCTCCCTTTCGATCAGTGTTTTGCAATTGAATTGAATTGAATTTATTCGTTTACATAAAGCTTCAGACTTCAAGAATGGAAACGCGAACAATACCTCAGGATCTCGGTGACGGTAAAACTTTTCATCTTGCTCAAAGGTCTACAAGCCTCAATTTTAACCACGTCGCCCAGCGAACATTGTTCTTTTTCGTCGTGAGCAAAGAATTTTTTATGTCGTGTTATAAGCTATTGATGTTTTTTTCGTGACAGTTTATGACGCAACCGTTGTAAATTTGAAGTTCTTGACAGGTCATGTCTTCCTTTTGAGCAATCGACTCTTTGAAAAAAAAGAAAAAAATGCTACGAAATTCCCAATACCTTGTGAACTTTGGGATGAACGAATTGCCTTGCCACTCGAACCTTGACAGTTTTCTGCATCGCAGTCCCCACAACAATGCCAACAAAATTTTGTCGAACCATCTATGTTTATAAAATTCCGTGTGTGAAATTTCGAGATGCCGATAATCGGTATGGTCATACCCTCGTTACACAGTCGCCTGAACACAAAGTTTGAAAGCTTTTAAAGGTTCCATTGAATGTCTTTCAATTATTTATAAAATTTATTCGAGTATCTCATATCTTGGCGTTCTCACGCTACTTGCCCAAACCGGAGGAGCAATGTGTTGATGCTAACCTTTTAGCAACATTAAACATGCGTCCATTTTATTTACAAAGTATCAATAAATAATGCCTAACGGGAATAGCGAGATGAAAAATTATGGGTCGCTCTGAAATCTTTCGGCTATTTTGCCGAACAGACCGTTACGTTCTTCCAACAGTTTATTCTTTTTTTTTTTTTTTTTTTCGGAAAGTTTCGCAATGAAATGATCAAATGAAAAATTAATTGATAAGAATTCGGAGAAACATTAAACGTTAGGCTTTAGATGCTATCAATCGTGCACACAAACCAGAGTTTGTCTAGCTTCATCCAACTTGTATTGAGCCAAGGTGATATCCTGGGTTTAGAAGAAAAAAAATATAGTTTATTAATCAATTGATTGCATATAATGATTTACGATAAAACTCAAATGCAAAAATTCTCACCGGTGGCAAGACTTTATAAGTTTGCAGTTTTTTTGCTTCGATTTTTACTTGTTTCTCCAAAGCTCTTACATCCTCCTCCTTTTGCTTCAAACTTTGATACCTTAATCCTCCCCCCTCAACGTTCAACGACGAGTACTGTCTCTGTAAAGAATCATTTTTGGTGAGATATATATACGTGCATACATCTTGTATATGCGTAGATGAACGAGTGCGATACCTCCAATCGTGTTAATTTCTGGTGATACTCTTTTGCTTTGAAACCAAGCAGGTTTGCGCTCGCCTCCCATTCTCCAAGCGTTTTCTTCTCTTTCGAATTCCATCTTTCTCGAAGGTTCAACAAAAGTCTTTGATGTAGTTGTGGTGCGGCGCAATTTTTTTTTTTATTAAAAAGAGCAATCATCAGATCCATCGGTTCAATTCCCCAAACGAAATTCGACCGCGTTGAAAGAACACAAACTTGCTTATTTTTTCATTCCTCAATTTTGCCTCTTGCGTGTGAGTTTTCAGGGATTCGATCGCACGCGAAATTAGGTGTTCCTGACGTTCCGCATTATACGAATCTATCGTCAATCGCGCTATCGCTGAAAGGTAACTATGAACTGTTATATTAGAGTTTTAATTAAGGCGCGAAAAATGGTCACCTAAAGGGAAAGGTTGAAAAAGGATTCGAACGAATAACCCCATACCTGCTTCTTTCGACATCTCCCAAGTCCAAAATTGTAGCCAAAGAGGCCAACGATCTTAATGCGAGGACACCATTTTTAGGCAAATTGTCCTTACAAATTCCTATCGTGTCCAAAATATCTTTGATCCGTGAAGCTATGAAAATTGATCAAACTATTCACATCAATCTTGTAATAGTAGCAAATGCGAATCAAGATCCGAACCTTCAGCACGATATTCGGACGCGTGAATTCTTTGTTGTTGAAGAATAATTTCTGCCATGGCGTCCTGTTGCTGATTAAAAAGAGCCATCTTGTATAAGGCTTTGACCGTAGACGAATTCCTTTCAAAAAGTGGCACCGGCTTATCCTTGTAAAGTTTCCTCAACCACGCGTCAATCTTGCAAGTTACAAAGGAATTTTGTCAAGCTCGCTGGTAAAATAAAACTTTTCATTTGTTAGAAGGGGAAAACGCGTACCATTTCCCATTTTTCGGTGTCGGGTAAACTGGTTTCTTCAAAATCGTCGGATAACAAAGTTTCCTCCTCTATGAAGGACGCGTCTTCGTGGCTCGCCGATGACTCTTCTGGAGCAAAACCGGAATCCGAAGCCTTAAAAAAATCATCGGTTAGTGGTAGCGTGTCAAATTCTTCCTGAAGCCGGTTCATCTCTTCATCATCGAGTTGGTTGGTTATTTGAATGTTAGAATTTTTATATGTAAACCGCTTGTGTAACCCATGTAGTTATTTGATGCAATTGAAATAATTCACGTTGGCACGCTGCACTTTTTTTTATTTATTGAAAATGGTTTACATTTTATATTGAATGACAACCCAAAACGAGGTGATTATTTACAATATATGTATATATAATTGATGGTCAACATTTTTTTTCCCATGATCACTTGAATGTAACCATTTTTTCATGAGAAATGTCTCAAAGCAATAGTTAAACAGATTTTTCTCTGGAGAAATCGCAATTATGAAAACTTCATACATTCGATCGAGGATATCTATCCTATTCCTCCTTCGACACGGGGGGGAAACTTTTAGCCGCCAAGGATTTGCCTTTCTCGACAACACCCTTAGTGTGATGTTTAAGAATTTTGGTACCACTGTATAACGATGGTTTGAATTTGAATTCATCAGACAATTCTTTTTAAAAAAAAAAAGAAAAAAAAAAGAAAAGAAAATTCAACAATACCTTTCATAATAAGAATTAGAAATGTCTCGCGCAATCTTCAATTTTTGATCAACGAGTTCCTTGTTACGTTGATATGCTGGTGGAATGGTAAATCCTAAAACGAGAGCTATGAAGATATGGAGGAGTTATCAGTTAGAATGATAGTTAATATAAAAAACTTAATGAATCAAACTAGATTACCGATCGTCGTTAAAGTGCGGAAATGAAACCATCCCCCGATTGTCCACGCAACATAAAATAAAATGACATACTAATTCCAAAAAAGAAATAAAATAAATCACAAAAGCTCGGTAAATTTAAACCATTAGCAAAGTAATCCGGAAATGCAAAGCATACTTTGAGGGTTCTCATAGGGTCATCGACTAAAACAATCTTTTGACTCTCTTGTAATATAAAGTTGGAACCATCAACAACAACGTCAAGATATCTTTCAACTGTAGCACGTTCGATATACCACGGTTTTTCCACGAAATAATGTCTGAGTGAATGGCGAAAAACGATCTTATGAGAAGGTGAAAACAATTATTAACAAACACAAATCTCCATGCAAACTCACTCGTATGGATTAGCATCTTCTCTGTTGAGCAGAACCATTAATTGTTTCCTGCCGATCACGTACAACCAATTTACAAACAGCGAGAAAACGGCCAACGCGCAGAAGGTGTTGAACAGTGAAAACTGAGAGGTAAAAATAATAATTGCTAGACCCACTCCTAGAAATCCGCCTGAATACATTGGATCTTCCCAATGAGCAAGACTTCTCGCTATGATATGATACATAGAGCTTCAGGAAACCCAAATAATATAATTGAACGTATAATGATGAAATGATTAAGATTTACCTCGGGGAATAGCAGCACCAAATGGATCTAAGTATCGCGGGTAAAGAATCAATAAGCTTTACTGTATAATATCGCAAAATTATCGACAATCGATGACTTACTGTAGACCTTTTTTCTTCTTTTTGATGAGAGTTTGGTTTCTTCATTATTTTCATTCACCTCGTTGGACTTTTGTTTTGGCTCTGAAATCTCGGGAGAAGAATATGCTTGATTTTTTTTGTTTTCTAACTTTGAAGCTTCATGTTCCTCGGCCGAGGTTTTAGGAATTGAAGTCGTCATTGTTGTTGTTGTTGTTGTTGTTATATCATCCTCTGCTCCAAGGTCCTTATTCGGTTCTTCCTCGTATGTTTCCTCCTTTTTTTCCTCCCTTAGTTCTGGCGAAGTATTAATTGCTAACATGGTTTTCTGAATGTTTCACCCACAAATTTTATATACAAAGGGAAAATTTTTTTTGCAAAATAAATGATATGGATCACTTGGCAGTTTATATATTATGGTTTTTTTTTTTTTTTTTATGAGATCGATTTCTTATTGGATTTTCGTTTTTCCCAGAGAGCACCTAGACAAACGAACGCCAATTATAAACTTACCTTTAAAGTGTAACTCGTGCCAATTTAAAAAAAAAATTTCCTTGCATTATCTATAGGAGGATTTATTGTGGAAATTCGGACCAAAAGAGGAAATATTGGTGACTATTCTGATCAACTCCTTGATGCTATAATGAAAAGGATATACTCTTACTCGATAGAGTATCTTATGTCATTATACTGTCTTTCGAATGCAGAATGTAATAATGATGTAAAATTAATATACTTCAAAATCTATCAATATATGACGCAGAAACCAACTTTCTCGTTGAGGATGATAAATGATGATAAGCCATAAAGAATAATCACAATCCTCATGCATTGTCCTGAAATTAAAAGGCGCCGTTTAATTCTGATTTAACAACATCGACTCTTCCCGTAGTCTCAAAGATCACGGTGCACCAAAAGCAAACCCTGTATATCTTCACATGTACTATGTAACTCTATAGGTCGGACAAGAATTTTTTATTTCATGCACGTATGTACGCATATTATCTTGATTTAGAGATGCGAAACAAATCGGTCAGGAAATGAGGCAGAGGTACTGCATGCAAACGAAAAGAGCACATCGATATGACTATTACTACTCTCCATCATGTGTCAAATGAACAAGACAAAGCCACTTTCATTACTTTGAAACACCGAATTCGACGATACCTTCGATAATTCCTGGTCGACAAAGGCGAGCAGAAAATTCCCTCATCCTTTATCCTCGATCGGCAACCAACGTACACAAAGAAAACGATTGTTTATATAACTTAAACTGGTTATGCTGGATCACACGATAACACGCCGAGACCTTTGTGTTTCTACCGTTAATCCAAACCTCGTGTGAATTTCCATATGAATTAAACCGAAGGTCGATCATCCCATTGTAAACATAATATATTGACAAATTTAAACGAGGTCTCAGCCTCACTTTATTGTATGTTGCATTCACCACACGTAGTTTATCCGAATTTTGCATTAGCGTTTTTATACAGTATTATTATATACTGTATTATATAAAAAAATTTTGTAAACCGTTTTTGTTTTTTTTAAAAATCCTATTTATTAATTTAAAAAAAGTTGTAATTATGTCATTTTAATATATTCTTATTGAGATATTAATAAAACATCTTCAAATTTACAGTATATTAAAAAAATTCAAATCTTAATTAAATATATAAAGTATAGTTGCTTTTGAAAATTTAAGTTTACTTAATATGTTTTTATTATAAATTTTAACTTTGTCAATTTTTAAATCATTAATTATATAAACCTGTGAATCAATAACATAGTGGTAGTACTCTTAGGTCACAATTATAAGATTTGTAGTTCAATATCACTTAAAAATCAAAAATTGAAATTATCCTTCTAATCAGGTTTACCAGTTATCCTATAAAATTCATATTTAATTATCCAGAACAAGTTTAAAATAAGTTAGGTTATATGAAGATGGGATTTCTAATCTTTTGTCGATCAGGGGTTGAAATGTAAGGTCATACTATCAAAAGAATTATACGAAATAAGGTTTTTGATCTAGTTTCCTACAAAAACATCTCTAGCTTACTCTACTTTAACAATTTCCAGAACCTTCTTTTTTAGTTCAAAATATCTCAATATGATACTTCACTTAATTGAAAATTAATTAATAGGGACTAATCTGATATCACAGGTAATAACAAAGAAGATAATGTGCTCCTTTCTAAGATCTAAGTGAATAATATTTGGAAATATTGAAGGATAATTTACATCCCATTAGGTATATACAAAAAAAGACTAATTTAATAAATTTAAAAAAGTCATTTGAGTCCCATACTAACTAGCTTAGCATTATCATTTATAATTATGTATTAATCATTTAACCACTAGCTAAATATATTCACTTTCAAAATGATAATAGATCTAGTTAAAATTACTATAATATATTAACATTAATATACATATATAGAGATATTTTATATAATAATAATGGAATTAAATTATCAAATAAAGTCACACATCTAATATCAGTTGTGATTTAAACATAAAAAAAAATCATTAATTATTATTTTTTTTTTAATACCTAAAGATAGATCAGTACTATTTATTTATTAATCATTAAAAAAATTGATAGAGATACATAGAGCAATTGTATCATAACTAAACTAAAAGACTTGTACTAACATATTTGTCAATGGCTTTCAATTCTCAAAAGAACTTTAGCCTCTAAATGCAATCTTGGGAACAATATTTCACTTTGAACTAAGTTTTGAATGAAGATCCTCCTAACTTATCTATCATTATCAGCAGATTATCACTACTTATTATTCTACAAGGAACTGAATTTGAGAAACTACAAAAAGGAAAAGAAAAAATAAAAAGAAAGAGGTATATTTAAAAATATGCAAATGCACTATATGAAAATAAAAAGAAAAAAAAAATTAAAATGCTTTATGTTCTCCAAAAGACCTCTGCTAAAAACCTCTTCTTATTAAAAGTCAACCCTTCTGAAATATCCTTCTTCTTCCTAACCATCTGAGGAACTTATCTATCCATACTCTTGATTATTTTCTTGTGCCCATCTGAAGTACTTATCACCTACTCAGATCCAGTGTCTTGTTCAATGTTTTCTTTCTTTTAGTCTTGATTTTGTATCTATCCATATAGAAGAAGATGATTAATAATGGATCCCAAATTCTTATATGATTTTTTAGTCTTGTTGAGTAACTCCTGATATCTTTTAGTAACCATACCTAATTAAAGAAATTTTACTGATATTCATCTTGATTACAATATCATTACTCAATGTCTGGAGAAATGTATTCTCAATCCTAGAAAAAGGTAGTGTTTATATTCCTCTGCTTTTTGGTTTTACAGCCTGACCAAAATAAGAAAATAATCTTCTTCATGTATTTTGCCTGACTAGAATAATAAGAAGTTGAAAGTCTCAGCTTGAATAAATAATCACCTTTTCACCATCTAGGAAATTTAGTGCCCATTCTAATGGCCTTATGATTTCTTTGCTTCAGTTAAACTTCATTTAAAGAAGTGGAGGAGTTCGTATTCTTGATTTCTCTTTCAATTATCAATAATGTTATCAAAATATATGAGATGCCCAATAGAAGCTTGTTTATATTTAACTACTAAAATATTTCGTATCAATCAATTAGATACCAGGTGATATTGTGCTATCAAAAATTCAAGATCAAACTGAGATAGGCAAAATTCCCCAAGAAAATCGTGAAAAATAGTAAGTACTTTAAGAAGGTATAAGACAGTATATAAGAAGGTGAAAAATAAGTCTTTCCCTATTAATATAACCTTTATATTTTGTCATTTTCAGTTCTGTAAAGTGACACTCTACTTGTCAGTCCTTTTACTTCTTAGAATCTTCTTATCCTTAGTAGAGGAAATATGTACTTAATTCTTTTCAGGCCACTAGAGACTTAAGTTTTTATTTAAAGGAGTTTATAAACAAGTAAAGGAGGGTAGAAAAGACAAGCTTCAAGTTG